TATTATTATTATTATTATTATTATTATTATTATTATTATTATTGTTATTATTATCATTATTATTATCATTATTATTATTATTATTGTTATTGTTATCATTATTATTATCATTATTATTATTAGTTACTGTTAATTAATTATTATTAATTATTACTACCATTATTGCTGCTTTCAGTAATTGCAACAGTGATGACAGGATCGGCAAGTGAAAAATTATCAATTTAAAATAAAAGGATTTAGAAGAACAGAAATATATAACTGGAATAATGAATATAACAGTAAGAATAAAGTATACTGATGAATGTTCTGATAAATTTTCTGCTCAACCATTCAACTGGAATGAATTTTGTTAATAGAGAAATATTAAATAACATGGTCACTAGTGGCATGAAAGGAAATGAAATTCAAATTGAATTACCATATTTCATGTTTATTGCTTATACACTTCAAGTAACATTCTGTTGCCGTTATGGCATTGATTCATAGAAGTTTAAAGTGTGCAAATGATGATGAATCGATTTCTGAATGGCATGAATTGGATGTAAGCAAAAATACTAAACGAAGAATTGAAAAGCATTTTTGTTTTCAACTTTCTGGATGACATAATGATGACATTTTGCATTAAATTCAAATTTGAGAATTTAAGGTCTAAGATAAAAAAAGCTGGCAAAGACGAATAGTCTCTTTTAATTCCTGATTAATTTTCAAGGTTAATAGTCGAAATTTTTTAAATCTTTCCATTCAATCTTTCATTTTTCATGTGTTGAAGTATGAGAGATCCAAATTAAAGTATTCAGTTGACTTTAATCATATAGACAGAGTTTTACTCTTTGCAACTGTTTTCTAATTTATCGACAGATTTAATTAATAAAATTCACACATGATTTTTACGAGACATGCAGTAAAATGCATTGAACAATAAACAATTAAATTAATTATGATTGAGTCAAGCTTCAAGTAGAAATATCTTACTGGCGGAGGTGTTTAAGAGCATCGTTATTCACCGGAACGGATTCGAATTTTGCAATTCCCAAGAAAATGAGGGAAAAAAGTGATGAAAATGTCAATCATATAAAACTATCACTGTATGGTAGTCATTGATCGAAAAAAAAATTGTTATTAAATGGCAGTTATCCATTAACAAAGTTTGACATTAGAATTCAGTGGGAGAATCAAATGATTGCAAGCGAGTACTCATAGAACTTCTGAATCCGGATAGGTTGTTAAGTACAATTTTTCAATGATAAAGTATTTCTCATACTGTCATCAGTCGTTATCACTTGGTTTTCTAATATTGTATGTCGAAAAAAAGATTGCTTCATTTCAATGTATTCATGAATTCCATTTGATAAGAAAAAAAAAAAAGAAGAACACTAATGATGCCAATTTTGATCTTCTGTTGCATACCGTTGGTTTATCTTTGATTTCGACGATATGCAAATTTTCATTAGTTCAGTAATAACTGAATTTCTCAGAATTTCTTAAAATTTGAAATTATTTGTTTCCTTAACTTGATAAATCTATGCGCCTTTTATATAACATATGAAAATCTTTTAGTTTTGCATTAAAAAAATTTAAATGAAAAACTTACTCGGTAATAATTCATATCGACGATACCAACGTTCAAATACTCCAGCTGACAAATGCGCAAAAACCATATTACCTTAAGCTTTTACATCGCAAAATGCGCAAAAATGACTAATTGCGGGATAGTCATTTAAACATCTCCTATTGTTAAATTTCGGAAATGTTTTGACTCATATATAAAAACGATTATTTTATGGAAATCTTTTTTAAATGAAAGTATTGAAAAATTTTTCGTCATAATTGCTCCGTCTTATGAAAATTTTCTAGAAGTACCGATTTCAAAAAGGTAATATAATATTCGAGAAAGTTGTTAATAAATTTTGAATAATGACCGGGAATGTCATTCATTTCCGGCATTCTGATCAAATTTTCACTAATTTATTCTTTCTTTTAACTTACTTTTTTGATTTTTTGGTGTTGGAAAAAATCGGAATGGTTCAATATGTATTTCGGGACTATTAACAACCATAATAATGAGAGTATTTGTGAAAATAGCACAAGAATGAACAATTGCAATCCCAAAGGCTCCATTACATGTTGAACTAGAAGTTATGAATTTCAAGAAAAAATGAAAAGGAAAAAAAAGTGCAATAAGTTCGTTGCAATAGTTTTGCACTTTTCTTTCTTCTTTTACTCATAAATAATTAGTGCTAATTGGCAACTTAATTGGCAGTAATTTTATGATGGATAAAGATATGAAGTTATCTGAATACTGCTATCCATAATGTATACATTAACAAAAATTCAGTCTAAAGAAAGCTGTGAAATAAATCTTTGCTTCTTACGCAAAGTATGACTTGAAATAAGTGGGCGAATTTCCTGCGCGAGTTAAACCAATCACACTCATCAAATTTTAATTTTAGTTTTTTAAACTTGTAAGCAAATTTTGCATATAAATTCAATGATCAGGATGGAATTTATAGCATAATGATCTATGTCAAGAAATAAGTCCAAAGGTAAAATCTATAGCTTTGGTTATAAAATAACAAATTAAAAATGGCAAGCAATTGAGAATATATCTCGAATTTATGGAAAAATAATTAAAACCATAATTAAATTCAATACAGATTCAATGTTCAATTCAATTAATAAACTGAACTTCAAATGTCCGACTTGTCCAATACTAGCTAAATTATTTATGCGAGTTTTATAAAAGCAAATCTGCTTTTTAAACAATAGTTCAAAAAGTGAAAAAGTCATTATTTCAAGTTGTATTAAATCTTTTTCCCTCACAGATGCGAACAGAAAAAGAAGCATAAAAGAAAATAGTTCCATTGGATGAACCAAATTTTAATTTCTAAACCTGAAATATTTTGTTTGAAAGATTTTTAATTTGAAAGAACCTCATTAAATTAAAAAAGAAAAGACTTGTCTAACGCAATGGAAAAGTTGATTTAATGAGGCGAGAAAAATTCTTAGAAATAATTTGGCAAATATTCTTTTAGAAAAAAATTGTTGTATGCGTCGTTAATTTTGTTTTTCAAAAAGAAAAAGTGGAGAAATAAAATAAGTGTTGAAAGAAGAATATTTGATTTGTAATATGATGAAAACGTATAATAGAATAAACGAAGGTATCATCCTCACCTTTTCTTCTTTTAATTTGTCAAATTTTTTGATACAAAATTAGATTGCAAAAATTTTAAAAAAAAGATTATTGGATACTAAAAGATTTCTTTGAAAATTATTTTAAAAGAATGAAAAAAGGAAAAACTTCATAGCCAAAATTTTATAATTTCGATTGCAAGAAAAAGAATTTTGCTTATTTAAATTGCAAAATATTGATAAAACTATTGGTTCACGAATCATTTATGGTTGCATTATTGTTGTGAACAGAGCAAAGAGCATAGAAGTAGTTAATAAGTAGGTAATGAAAAGTAGATTGTCAAAATAGGTAATCAGAAGTGGATTATGGTGATTTTTTCTGGAAATAACAATTAATTTTTAGTGAACTAATTGAAAGTAATTATTCACCAGTTTTATAGCAATCATTAAATAGTGATGCAAGTGGATAGGAAAGTTAAAAGACTTTGCAGAAATATAATTTGTCATAGCTAATTGAACCGATTTATCGCTTCCTTTTTATTTTGTGATAAAGATGAATATTTTGACAATTTTCAGTAATAGTATTAATGATAATTATCATTTTAGCTTGACTGATAAAATAAAACGAATGAAATTCATCAATAAAGAAGTTATTGAACTATGATATTATTTTCCTAAAGTGATAGTGTTAGCCACTATTATTGATACAGCAATTAATGACAAATATCATTTTAGGTGACAATTATCATTTTAGATGTTGATAAAACAAAATGAAAGAATTTCATCAGTGGAAAACACTTAGAATATGTTACCACTATTACTTTTGATTCCTTTTCTTTTTGGAATTATTTGAATAATTATACTAACAAAATATATAAGAAATCTCTTTTGTCCTCTTTTTTTTTTCTTCAGAAATTTTAACATCCAATAAAAGAAACTATAGATGCCTCAAAAATATGAATGTCTAACACATACGATATCACCAGTTTTTTTTTATTAGTTCACCAGTGATAAATCCCCAAATGAATTCGGTCATCGGTTTGCGTCAGCAAATATCCATCCAAAGTACGAATGTTTAAAGAATTCATTGCTTAATGGTGTAATCGTGGGATTTTGTGAGAATTTCAACAGCAATGATAAGGACAAACGATACAGCATTGGATTGAAGAAAAATATTGAGGTTGGAAAGTTTCTTGAAATCAAATAATTTAGCAGTTAAAGGGGAGGAGAGGGATAGTTGTCGTTATAACATTGGTGTAAGCATTCTTGATGTGCTAATACCAAAGGGATTCGAAATATGGAAAAAAAATCTGAAGGCAATAGGGATCATCAGATGGATAACAACAACATATATAAAATATTCGTTGAAAACCGAGCAAATGTACCGAGAACCACAGATGTACAGGTTGAAAGGAAATGGAGAAAAGGAGGAAAAGTATCAGCACTTTTTATAAGTAAATGATTGGAAAATTATATACATATGTATGGACAAAGAAAAATAGTATATTATTTATTCATAGGATTTTCAATTACGCAATAAAGAAAAGTGTTATAAATTAAAGTTCGAATTTTAATAGAAGATAATGCGCAATTTATAAAATTATAAAAACAGAAAATGAATGAAAACCAAAAAAAAAAAGAAATGAAAAGGAAAAGGAAATATGAGCTATTACATAAATCTTTTCATAATTTCCATGTTTTCTTAAACATTCAAACAGCTCTTTTATTTTTTCCTCTTCTTCTTCCCACACTTTCATTGTATTTTAATCTTATGAAAAGAAGTGGTTTTCCCTTCCGTTACAATGAATCAATTCAATCTAAAATTTTATTCAAAAAAGAAAAAAAGATTTCCATCACAAAAATTTAGTCTAATTTAAAAATTGCGAGAAATTTTATTTGAAAAAAAAGAACATATTTGTGGCAAAATTTATTTTAAACATTGTAAAAGAAGAGATAAGGCGAAATGATTGGTAAATATTGGAAGAGAGGGGGGGGCGTATAATATTGTAATTGGTGAAACTTTTTTTTTTGCATAAAAATTTTGGCAGATCTTGTAATAGTTATGGTAATTTTTTTTTTTGACTTTTAAAAATTAATTTGAAGCGTTTATTCGTATTTTGACAATTCACTTCATATATCAAAAGATGGCGAACAGTATTTGAGTAATAAATGGTTTCCAGGATTGTCACCTCTGCAATGGATTATTTTACATATATCATTAAGATGTTGATACTTTCCGATTACAGTTATTCCAGGACTCGCATATTCTGTTCAAGACCAACATCCTCAATATGCAATTTCTTCGATATATCTTTCACAAATGTTGTCCAGTAAAATCTATGCACTGCATCATCAGGTAAAATCTGTTTGCTGTATCTTCAACAGATCATACCTATTCTATCTTCGAACAAAGTCTATTGTGGAATAAGTAGAAAAGCTAAAATACAAGAATTTAGAAAGGCAAACTTATGCAAAAAAAGAATTATAACACCAAAATTTTTTACCACGAAATTAGAAAAATTTATAGATGATATTGAAATATGAATAAAATTTGAGAGCGCTTAATAACGAACGAGTAAAATGATTGAACAGAGATGTTTTTATTAAGTTTATAGATTATACATTGTGTGGCATTATTCATTGATTTAATTATCTGAAAATTGGCGAAGAAAACATAAACCAAATTTGATGCATTTAATTTGAAATATATTTCCCTTTATCATGAAACTGTCACTTGTTTTCACCTTTCTCAGTGTATATTTCTGCTTCAAATATTTTCTCAATTTTTGTGTAAAATACGAAATTTCAAAAAAAACAAATGTTAAAATTTATCATTTTTTATATTATTTTAAAGGAAATATTATAAGCAATGTAAATATTTCTATGCGCAATATTATATGTTCACATTCTGGTTTACATCAATTTTAATTTTAAAGAACTGATGATAATAAAGTTGAATTTGTTGAAGAGATAAGTGAAAGCTTTTTAAACTGTAATAATGATAGTGCCAAGTTAATTTTATCAATGCACAATTTGTATAAATGAGGCTATTAGAATCTAATGGATGATCAACTTTGAAGCAAGCAATAAAAGTGATGAGACGAAAAGTACACTGTCGCATGCATGCATTAATTGATATTTTATTGATTAACCATGGAGATCAATAAAATATCAATTATATGTATATGTGAGAGTGTACTTTTCAGGGTTCCTTAAAGTCTCTCTGATAAATTTTCCATTTTGAGAGGAAACAAAGAAAACAAAATAAAAAACCATTTTAATTGTTTCTTTCTCTTCTTTTGTTACTTCTTGATTTGATTCATATTTGAATAATTGATATTTTACTGCATTCGGGCAAAAGTGAATATCAAAGTTACTATTTGGATGAAAAATAACGATTATGAATAAATGAAAAATATTTCCAAAAGAATTATCAGAAAAAAGGATGAGAAGTGAAGAAAGACTTAAGCTTTGATATTAAATTTCCATTTAAGCGAATGCCCCAAAATTTTTTTTTCGCAATAATTGCATTAAAGCAGCAACAATAAAAGCAAAAAGCCATGAAATTATTAAACTTTTCCTGCTTTTTTTCTATTTTCACCACTGAAAATCCTTTATATTTATTTTAAAATAACATAAAAATGATTCAAACCATTACCCACTAAATATATTCGAAGATAAAATATTGATGATAATAAAATTATCCAAAGTAATAATGAAAAATCATTAAGAGATGATGAAATAATTTGAAAATAATAAAATTAGATTTTCAAAATGTGGGAATATTTCATTTTGAAAGGGGAAAATAATTTTCATTCCGTTCATTTTTGATAGCATACAGAAGGGTTCGATACTTTTATTGCGTTATCACCAATCCTTTTTGAATAGAATTTAAGTGAATGTGACAAAGACGCTTGAAGAAATCATTCCACAAAAAAAAGGTGAAATCAGAAAGCCTTGCAAAATGCTACCTATGAAATAGTTCTTAGGTACTTATCAATCCGTTAACGCTTTTTAATACTGAAAAATACCGTACTGCTTCTTTTTTCAAAATGATAAAAAATTTTGAGTAGCATTTTTCATACTTTTTTCTTTTTTCCTCAAAAATTATCATTCAAAAACAGCATCACTATTAATTGAATATTTCTGTTGAAAGTTGGAAAAAAAAGGAGAGAAAGAGTTTAATATTATTTTATCATAACTAAATTTGGCAATAACGTACTACTATTTACTCTAATAATTTATAAATA